TCAGTCAGCATCTGCTTCCCATCACGCGGTGTGACTCGGAGACCGACATCTCGCATGGCGACCTGGATGAAGCAGGGGAAACTTAGCTGATGTCGCTGCAGCAAACCTGTTTGCTCATCTCCAAGGAAGCCTGACTTGAGCCCCTGCCCAGCTGCCATGCACAACCCTCCGCCCCCGTCCTGCTCACAGACCCAGGGCTGAGCACACACAGCTCCCACTGAGCTCAGCTGGAGCCGGGTTTGCCCAGCACGTCTGAAAGCCAAACCCCAAAGCTCAGGGGGGAATCTGTATCCGGCCGTTCATTGCCTGGGTCTGCCACGGATGGGCCTGCTGGGTTTAGCAAGGTGCACAGCTTCCACTGCGGTACCTGTGGCAGGACACCCCGGAACCGACTACTCCCCCGTAGCCATAATAGCCTGGGTAGCCGCAGTATCCCCCATTCCCATAATAGCCTGGGTAGCCGCAGTATCCCCCATTCCCATAATAGCCTGGGTAGCCACAGTATCCCCCATGAGCATAACGTCCTGGGTAGCCCCAGAACCCTCCGTTACCATAAAAGCCTGGGTAGCCGCAGTATCCCCCATAACCGTAACCTGGGTATCCCCCAAAACCGTAACGGCCTCCATAACCATAACCCCCATAACCGAACAACTTCCACTGCGATACCTTTGGCAGGACACCCCGGAACCGACTACTCCCCCGTAGCCATAATAGCCTGGGTAGCCGCAGTATCCCCCATTCCTGTAGCAGAACCGTAACGGCCTCCATAACCATAACCCCCATAACCGAACAACCCTCCGTAACGGCCTCCATAGCCGTACAATCCCCCGTTAGCGAAGGAGCCCCCGTAGCCGGCTCCCACCACAGGTTCTCCTACGGCTGCCACTTCGCTCTGCTGAGGGAAGGTGCTGAGAACTGGTCCGGGGAGGGTCACCACAACCGGGGAGGGTCTGATCACCACTCCGGAGTCAGGGCACTGCAGAACGCATGGCTTCAGGGCACTGCCTACCCCTCATGGCTTTTCAAAAATACTAAATTCAAATGACATTTGAATGACAATGAAATAGCTCCACATTGCGTGCCCTTAAATCATGACCCCATTAAAGGAATGACACCAAAGACCTTGGCCTCCATTTTGGGTAAACTGATTCAATGACTCAGTGCAGAGTCCTCTACTGCCAACCACAACCTCTAATGATACAACCCTTTGTACGTGGGACATCCCAGTGTGTGCGAAACATTGGACTCTGCAGTTCTAAGGGCACTAAGGAACGTCCTGACTTTACATCCTCACTATCGATGTATCAGAGGCTGAGAAACAGAGGCACTTTGAGGCAAAGGTCACCTAGGGAATCCGTTGCAGATACAGAAATACAACCCAAGAATTCTTTGTCTTTCTGTGACAGATGTAGGTCTAGGTTAATCCCTGTTCCACTGTCGTACAAGACAAGGCCCTGCTGGAAATATCAAGATGAAGTTCAAGATTAAAGTCTTGTTCTAAGCCAGAACACCAACGGCAACGAGATCCCCCAGGGCACCTCTACACAGCAGTATTTCGGATTATCGGACGTCATTCCAAAATAATTATGTATGCGTCTGCACAGGAATTATTTTGAAATAACAACTTATTTCAGCGCCTGTCCTGAAATAGCTATTTCAGAATAGGGCATGTGTAGAATAGAGCGCAGCTGGAGTTATGTCGAAATAGTTGGCCTCCAGCCCTTCCCATAGGTGCCCTGCTGGTCCCTCCATCCACTCGATAGTACCCGTTCCCCTGCAGGCCTTAAAGGCACAGCCCCAGGAGACAGGGCTTGAGGCACAAGGCAGGCCCTGAGAGCCCTGAGCCACATCTCAGCAGCCTTCGCAGCTATCCCTGTGGCCATGAACCACCCCCATGCTCCATCCGAGCCCTCCACGGCTGCAGTCGAGCAGCTGACCGGCTCCCAGGCGCAGGCAGGTGCCTTCCTGGTCTGGTGAGGAGATCCTGGACCTCATTGAGGTTTGGGGTGATGAGACCAACCTCCAGGGTCTCTGCACCAGGCACAGGCACGACGACGCCTATGGCTGAGAGCCTGGCCAACAAGGAGCACATCCGCATTGAGGAGCAGGCATGTGGCAGGGTGTGACGATGCATCAGGGAGCCCCTGACCCTGCACCCCCGACCGGCCGCTCGGGGAGGCAGCCCAGACCTGCCCCGACTCTAATGAGCTGCACTGTATCCTAGGGGGAGAGTCAGTGACCCCCCTCCCCCGGTAGTGAACTCAGGGCTGGAGATGCCTGTCGTCACCCTACCAGGGGGCAGGGACAGCCAGGAGCAGGAGGAGCCGGAGGAGCCAGCAGTGTAACGATGTCCCCCAGCCAGGAGGACTTGCTCTCCCTGGAGCCGGTACTCCATGCCCTGGATGTCACCCAGGCATCATGTGATGCAGGGGAAGCCTCATCAGGTGAGGGCCCTTAGTTTCCATAGACACACATGGGTGGAGGTGGCGAGGGGCTGGGGCGCGCTCCTCACTCGGCCTCCTCGGCCTGGGGATCACGCAGCAACCTGTGAGTGTGGGAGCATGTGGCGCGCCAGCACAGGAGGCGGCACCAGAGGACCCTTGTGCTCTGGCTCACTGTGTGTCTGGAGAGGCCAGCAATTCCATCCAGGAAACCTCTCCAGTAAGGAGGGAGGACCACAGAGAACAGGACAACCAATGTGATGATGCAGCAGAGTTTTAATGTGAATGGCATTGGCAGTGCAGTGACAGAAAGCGATTCGACAGAGCGGAGAGAAAGTCGGTCCCGAGTTCCAAGGTGCTTTGCAACCCATCTCCTGCCTTCCACGTTTTCCCCCGATTGATGGGAAATGGTCTGTGTGTCACTCAGGAGGAGCCCACAGGCCAGGAGGAGACTCAGCGCGGGGCTGGCAAAGCAGGAGCAGAAGGAGCCATGAAGCGTGAGGGGAGCAATGCAGCCTGGCTCCCAGACCCAGGGCTGAGCACACACAGCTCCCACTGAGCTCAGCTGGAGCCGGGTTTGCCCAGCACGTCTGAAAGCCAAGCCCCAAAGCTCAGGGGGGAATCTGTATCCGGCCGTTCATTGCCTGGGTCTGCCACGGATGGGCCTGCTGGGTTTAGCAAGGCCCACAGTATCCACCAAGGTACCTGCGGCCATATCCCCCGTATCCACCGCATAATCCACCATAATATCCCGGGTATCCCCAGTTACCATAATAGCCTGGGTAGCCGCAGTATCCCCCGTGAGCATAACGACCTGGGTAGCCCCAGAACCCTCCATTACCATAAAAGCCTGGGTAGCCGCAGTATCCCCCATGAGCATAACGTCCTGGGTAGCCCCAGTACCCTCCGTTACCATAAAAGCCTGGGTAGCCCCATAAGCCCCCATAACCGTAACGGCCTCCATAACCATAACCCCCATAACCGAACAACCCTCCGTAACGGCCTCCATAGCCGTACAATCCCCCGTTAGCGAAGGAGCCCCCGTAGCCGGCTCCCACCACAGGTTCTCCTACGGCTGCCACTTCGCTCTGCTGAGGGAAGGTGCTGAGAACTGGTCCGGGGAGGGTCACCACAACCGGGGAGGGTCTGATCACCACTTCGGAGTCAGGGCACTGCCGAACGCACGGCTCGTTGCAGGTACCAGAGACGGGGCTGGGCCGGGCCACCCCGCATTCTGGATAGCACAGGCTGGAGAAAGCCATCTTGCCAGTGGAAAAGAGGTTTCAAAACCGTTATTTCAGCAGTGAGGAATGCACGCGGTCCAATAGAGAATGGAGGAGGGTACTTGGTCCCTATGGACATTTATTTGGTCCTCTACCCTCTTTCTCTGCCTCTTCCCACTGAAGGGGCAAAACTTGGAACTTAATATTGTTTCCACAAGCACTGAACTTCCATCTCATCAGTCTATTCTGAGCTGCTCTCGTGTCTTTATCTGAAAACACCGACTGGAGAAAATTGAACTTTTTCTAGGGGGACACCTGCGATTCCGTGTCCCTTTTTCACATTTCTGAAAGAAAACGTCACCGTTTTCCTTTAAGAACTTCCCCTCGACCTGCAAAGATCTTGAGTCTAGTATCACAGGGTGGCTCTTGGGTTTCCCAAATTTTGAGTCACCAAAACTTGCTCATGAATAATCAGAATTTTTTAGTTTTTCCAAACAGATCACTGAGGACACTTCCCACCGCTAGAATGGGGTCAGGTCCGCTGGTGTCCATGGAGTGAGTCTACGTCCCACCATGTGAGGAGAAACACCTTCAGAGGGTATTTCTGGTCAGAAAAACGTCAGGAATTTTGTCGGCACTGCTCTCCTTCTCCAATCTCCAATTGTGAGGAGCAACAGCTACTTCTGAGTAAATCAGAAGGCCACTGAATCAGCCCTTTCTGGACTATACTGGGAAAACGTCTTCCTAACCCATCTAAATCCTTTCACAACACTAAGGGGGTTTCTAAGGTTACTTACAAGACTTCAATGCCCGTATTCTATTTCCAGTGAATAGGAAATAAGTTTCCCACTTGCATCTGTTGTGGTAACGTTCCCCCTTTCGTTTCCCGTTGTGAACCCACCCGCAGCCACCTGAGCCCCCCAGAGAATTTTGGAAGAGCCCCCTGATCCCTATCACTGCCAGCACAGGTATGAGTGAGTCTGCAATGAAAACAGCCTCTCCCAGGAGATGTGGAGGGTTAGACAGAGACTGAGCGGAGCTGGACTTACCTGGGTCAGGGAGGAGATGGAGTCCAGAGAAGTGTTTAGAAGAGTCCACGGTCGGGAGCTCTTTTATACCGTTCCTAGGACAGCCTGGGGGAGCCGGGATGCTTTGTGGAGGAGTCCTAATTAGCTCCCAAGCAAACTCGATTGCCTTCCTAAGTCCTCTTTTGGTTGGAGCTGTTTGCCTCAGCGTTGGGGATTATTGGGCTAATCTCAGCCTCAGCGGGCGGGACACGCACGTTGCATCTCCAGCCTCCTTTCATCTTCAATTGAACAGGCCCGAGGCATTGCCCGTGTCCTTGTGCCAAATGTCAAGGTGATTGTGAGCAGCAGGAGCACCACAAATGGGTGTTGTGAAAGGAATCCAGCAGGGCCCTGTCAGCTCACGCTGGTCAAGGCTTGGGGCATCAGGCTGCTCATTGTGAAGCCACGAGGAAGGAGGGAGCCATTTTCCGGCCTTCCCACCCCCCCGATTCCCAAAGCGCTATAGC